CCGAAGCGAATCAGAAGCCGGGAGAGTTTCAAAAAAGCAAAAAAAAATTCGCGGAAAGGAGATCAGAGAATTGAGGTTCGTAACAATTTAAGATATCGCTGATCAGAGAATTGATGCTTCTTGCATTTCCGCTTCCCCGTTTTAAATCTTAAGTCAAGGTTTAACAAAAAAGATGCCATATTATTATTACTTATTTTTTTTTCTCTAAAGGAAGTACTCATAAAAGTGTGTGAGTGCGTGTGTCGGGGCCTGTGTGTGTGTCGGGGTGTGTGTCAGTGTGTGTCAGTGTGTGTGTGTCAGTGTGTGTGATAGTGTAGTCCGGCAAAACAACCCCCTACCTCCTCGCGGTGCCGGACGGGCAACTCTGTCGTGGACAGCGCTGTGGGGGGAGATCCAATTTTGATTGGCTCCTCCCCTCATGGCATATGTGTCCACCACAGGGGCTAAACGGGGGCTCTGGACGGGTGCGAGGGGCTGGTAACCCCTCCACCTTCAATTAATTACCACGAAACCACGAATTAAACTGAAATATGTAACAACTAAGCTTGTGCCGGAGGCCCCGGGGGGCCAGGCGTCTATGACGTCTCCTGGCCAAACCCCAATTGGCGGAGCCAGGAGATTGAATACCTACCCTCGGGGCTACTCCAGAAACAACGAAAAGCCACTACGGGTGGCCACGTGGAATGTTCGAACGCTCACTGCAGAGGAGAGGCTGCCACTCCTCTGTCGGGAGCTGGACCGGTACCGCCTGGATCTATGCGGCATTCAGGAGGTCCGGTGGACCGGCTCTGGCTCCTGCCACCATGAGGGGTGGACAGTCCTTTACTCGGGGCAGCAGACTGCCAAACAACAGGGTGTGGGTCTTCTTTTGAACAAAAGAATGAAGGGGGCGTGGGAGCGTGGCGGTGAGGTGTGGGAAGCTGTAAGCCCCAGGCTACTTTGGGCTCGCCTTCCCATCAACCGGAGGCGAGGAATGGTGGTCGTGGTTACTTATGCCCCCACCGAAGATGAACATCCGTGGAGGGATGCAGGCAAAGCCGATGAGTCAGATGCCTTCTATGACCTCCTGTCACAGGTGCTGGCTAAAGTGGCCCCTCGGGATAGAGTCATCATGTTGGGTGACTTCAATGCCCGAGTTGGTCATGATACTGGCACCTGGTCTGGAGTGATTGGAGGGCATGGGCCAGATCAGCTCAATAACAACGGTAGGAGGCTGCTAGATTGTTGTGCAGCCCATGGGCTTGTAATTACCAACACGCTGTTCCGGCATCGGCGCATCCACACAACATCATGGATGCATGCCGGGTCCAAGCAAGAACATCTGCTGGACTACATAGTGACGGACCAGCGAATGCGAGCCCATGTCCTTGACACCAGGACCTACCGTGGAGCTGATCTGCCCTCTGACCATCGACTAGTCATCTGTAAGATGCGCCTGCCATTCTTCCACTCCGGTGGTGGGTGTACACCCAGGACCCCATTCCAACCTAAAGTGGCCTGGTCTCAGTTATCTGATGAAAGTTGCAAGCGAGAATTTCATCATCGCTTGCGGCTGGGATTGGCATCGTCCCCGACTCCTCCGGATGTCGAGGGTAAATGGGCGAGGTTTAGGACTGTGACTCATGCAGCTGCAATGGCTGCTTTGGGTACGCGGTCCAGACCTCCCCAGACACCCTGGATGACAGAGGAGTTGTTCAGGATGGTTGAGAAAAAGCGACAGGCCCACTGTCATCGGCTACAGAATCCCACGTCAGAGAATGAGGAGGCTTACCGCAGCCTTCGCTCGGAGGTTCGGAGAGCCGTGAGGCGCTGCAAGGATGGGTGGTGGTCGCGGGTTGCTGAGGAGATGGAGTCTGCCTCAGTGGCCCGTGATCACAAATCTCTATTTAACTCCATCAAAAAAGTAACCTGCAGCGCCACACCTATTACCATCATTAGGAGAAAAAACGGTGATCCAATTTCCGACCCCCAGGAACAGGTTCGCAGATTTGCTGAGCATTTCTGTGAGGTCCTGGGGGAGGGAAAATCCCTCAGCCAGGAAAACACCGTGGCACAAAGTGAGGATGACCCTGCTGAGGCTGCGGTGCCTCAAATATTGGATGAAGTCACCCCCTGTGAGTGGCTGGCTGAGGTGCCATCTGCTGAGGAAGTATTGAAGGCGATCCGGAGTCTGAGACCAGGAAAGGCAGCGGGCAGAGATGATCTCCCAAGCGAAATGCTGAGGGAGGGTAGCGTTTGTGCACAGACTGCCCTATATGACATCATAACAACAGTCTGGACCACTGGACGGGTTCCGCAGGATTGGAAGGATGCCCTGGTGGTCCCCCTTTTTAAGAAGGGGGACCGCACAGACTGTAACAACTACAGGGGCATCTCACTCCTCAGTGTGCCGGGAAAGGTCCTGGCAAGGATTATTCAGCATCGCCTTGCCAGGCACGCTGAGGAGAGGCTTGCGGAGCCCCAATGCGGTTTCAGGAAAGGGCGGTCCTGCACAGATGCCATATTTTCTGTCCGTCTGCTACAGCAGAGGTGTAGGGAATTCCAACAAGACCTACATCTCTGCTTTATTGACCTGGTCAAGGCCTATGATACCATCAGTAGGCCTGGGCTCTGGGTCGTTCTTCGTGCTTTTGGAGTACCTGACCCTCTGCTCACGATCATTAAGGACCTTCATGATGGTGAGCGGGCCCGGGTAAAACTACGTGGCCGGGAGTCAGAGCCATTCCCTGTACACCTTGGGGTGCGACAGGGATGTCCTCTGGCTCCCACATTATTTAACATCTATTTTGACCACGTAGTTCGTGAAGCCTTCATTAGCTGTACCGGGGGAATCTCCATATGGTACAGATATAATGGGAGGCTAATCGATGCCCGGGTGCGGTCAAGGGATGGCTCCCTATTGCTCAACCACGTTATGTATGCTGATGACTTGGTAATAGCTGCTCAGTCAGAGGAGGAGTTGGAGACGCTGCTGCTGAGACTGGAGCGTGCCACTAAGAGGTGGGGCCTTACCATCAGCCCCACCAAAACTAAGCACCTGCCTGGGTATTTTGTACCATCGGACACTCCACCCCCACAACTCCCAATCGGTGATGGGGCAGTTGTGGAGAGAGTGGAGAGTTTCCCATACCTGGGCAGTGTGCTTATGACTGGCTCCAGTTTAACAGCAGAGGTCTCACTCCGAATCAGTCGAGCGGCAATATCTTTTCATCGGTTGCGTAACGCTGTGTGGAAGCTACCTGGTCTGTCGCTCCGCACTAAGCTTCAGGTCTTCTCGGCCACGGTCATTCCCTCCCTTCTCTACGCTTGCGAAACGTGGACCCCCCTAATGGAACATCTTCGCCGGTTAGAAACATTTAGGCTGGCCTGCCTACGATCCATCCTGGGTTTAACCAGACTGGATTGTGTGAGGAGCTCACAAATCCTTGAAAGATCTGGGCAGGGTCCCATCGGTGAGCTCCTCCGGGAGGCAAGGCTGCGATGGCTGGGTCATGTAGCCCGCATGCCCAGCCACCGCATGCCGAAACAGCTTTTGTTTGGCCGGATTGAGGGGGCTAAGCGGGCGCGGCACGGGCTAGAGAAGAGATGGAGTGATGTGGTACAGGAGGACGTGGAGCTGAGTGGACTTGCCGATGACTGGTACCAGCGGTGTCAAGATCGGCCTCTGTGGAGGAGGCTCGTGAAGGATGCTACTGGGCAGTTGGAGGCAGTCGCCCTCCAACAACAACGGAGGGCGGAGGAGCGACGCTCACAACAGCGAGCGGAGCGCCGGGTGGCTAAAGCACAGCAGGTTGGCACAGTAGGGGGCACAGGTGGTGCATCAGCCAGTCATCTCAGTCAGTCGACCCGTGGCACCTGGGTCTGCCCCGTGACCACCTGCCAGCGGGCGTTCGACACTTCACGTGGCCTCAGGGTGCACATAGCCTGGCACAAGCGTCGTGGTGACGTCACCGCCACTTAGTGGCGAATGGCGGTTGTTGTTGTGATAGTGTAGCGGTTAGCGCGCTGCGCTATGAACCTGGCGACCCGGGTTCGATTCCCGCTCACGGCCAACACCAGTGACGATTATGTGAACCGGTCCCGGGCCTCCCCTAGGTCGACTCAGCCTCAAATGAGTACCTGGTGCGGTGTGTAAACATCGCCACTGGGGAGACAAAGGCGGTCGGGCGTGGTGCTGGCCACCCACCCCCTCGTGTACCGTTCTGGCCTTCATAGGTGCTCGCTAACAGCACTTGCCCCTACAGTCTGTTACAGGCTATATGGGGGATCTTTGTCTTTGTCTTTTGTGTCAGTGTGTGTGTGTCAGTGTGTGTGTCAGTGTGTGTCAGTGTGTGTGTCAGTGTGTGTGTGTCAGTGTGTGTGTGTCAAGGTGCTCGCTAACAGCACTTGCCCCTACAGTCTGTTAAGGCTATAAGGGGGATCTTTGTCTTTGTCTTTGTGTGTCAGTGTGTGTGTCAGTGTGTGTCGGGGTGTGTGTCAGTGTGTGTGTCGGGGTGTGTGTCAGTGTGTGTCAGTGTGTGTGTGTCAGTGTGTGTCGGGGCATGTGTGTGTCTGTCAGTGTGTGTGTCGGGGTGGGTATGTGTCTGTCAGTGTGTGTGTCAGTGTGTGTGTGTCAGTGTGTGTCAGTGTGTGTCAGTGTGTATGTGTCTGTCAGTGTGTGTGTGTCAGTGTGTGTCTGTCAGTGTGTGTGTGTCAGTGTGTGTCAGTGTGTGTGTGTGTCAGTGTGTGTGTGTCAGTGTATGTGTGTGTCAGTGGGGAGCGATAGTGTAGCGGTTAGCGCAATGCGCTATGAACCTGGCGACCCGTGTTCGATTCCCGCTCACGGCCAACACCAGTGACGATTATATGAACCGGTCCCGGGGCTCCCCTAGGTCGACTTAGCCTCAAATGGGTACCTGGTGCGGTGTGTAAACATCGTCACTGGGGATACAAAGGCGGTCAGGCGTGGTGCTGACCACCCACCCCTTCGTGTGCCATTCTGGCCTTAATAGGTGCTCGGTTTCAACACTTGCCCCAACAGTCTGTTAAGGCTACACGGGGGATCTTTATCTTTGTTTTGTGTGCAGGGGAACGGTAGTGCAGCAGTTAGCACGGTGAGTCGTGAGTGAGTGGGTGAGTTATTGAGTCGCTTAGAAATGAATTAATGGGTGAGTAGTGAGTGGGTGAATGGATGAGTGAGTGAGTGGGTGCGTGAATGAGTGAGTGAGTTATTGAGTCACTTGGAAATGAATGAACGGGCGAGTAGCGAGTGGGTGAGTGGGTGAGTGAATGAGTGAGTGAATGAGTGAGTGGGTGCGTGAATGAGTGAGTGAGTTATTGAGTCGCTTGGAATTGAATGAACGGGTGAGTAGTGAGTAGGTGAATGAGTGAATGGATGAGTGAGTGGGTGAGTGAATGAGTGAGTGAGTTATTGAGTCGCTTGGAATTAAATGAACGGGTGAGTAGTGAGTGCGTGGGTGAATGAGTGAGTGAGTTATTGAGTCGCTTGGAATTGAATGAACAGGTGAGTAGTGAGTAGGTGAATGAGTGAGTCGGTGAATGAGTGAGTGAGTGAATGATTGGGTGGGTGAATAAGTGAGTGAGTAAATGAGTGAGTGAATGAGTGAGTGAGTTATTGAGTCGCTAGGAAATTAATGAACGGGTGAGTAGTGAGTGGGTGGGTGAATGAGTGAGTGAGTGGGTGAGTGAATGAGTGAGTGGGTAGGTTAATGAATCGCTAGTAAATGAATGAACGGGTGAGTAGTGAATGAGTGAGTGAATAAGCGAGTGGTTGAGTTATTGAGTCGCTAGGAAATTAATGAACGGGTGAGTAGTGCGTGGGTGGGTGAATGAGTGAGTAAGTGAGTGAATGAGTGAGTGAGTGGGTAGGTTAATGAATCGCTTGTAAATGAATGGACGGGCGAGTAGTGAGTGGGTGGGTGGCCTCGAAGTGCACCAAGCCTGGCGCAAGCCCCGTGGTGACGTCGCCTGCGCTTAGTGACCAACGGCACCAGATGCTGGTGCTGCAGCAGCTGGTGCTGGTGGTGGCGTACGTGTCGTTGTTGAGTGAGCGAGCGGACCGCGCCGGTTCCGTTTGGGGACGACGCCGAGTCCGTTGCATACCGAGGACGACCTCGAGCTGCGGCCGCTCACGACGGAGTTCCTCCTCCGTGAGCCTCGAGCGGGGGATTTGCCACTGGCGCGCTCGTCACCGTCGCTGTCGCTTGAGCCGCCGCTGCTGCTGCTGCTGCCGCTGCTGCTGCTGCTGCTGCCGCTGCTGCTGTCCTTGGTGCTGCTGATGCTTCCTCGGCGAGAGCGTCTCCCCGATGCGTTGGGAGGAACGGTAGGACGAGACGGAGTTCTGTCGGAACCGTTGCTCAGCGGTCGGCGCAGGTCACCCTCCCCCGATCGCTCTTCGTCGTCCTTAGCCACCTCCTCGCTGGCATCTTCCGCTCCGCGGATCTCCTTTCTGACGGAGCCACTCAACAATGCGTCGTCAACAGGACGAGGCGGTGTTCTGTCCGCAGCATTGCTCAGCGGTCGACCCAGGTCTCCCTCCCCCGATCGCTCTTCGTCGTCCTTAGCCACCTCCTCGCTGGCATTTTCCGCTCCGCGGATCTCCTTTCTGACGGAGCCACTCAACAATGCGTCGTCAACAGGACGAGGCGGTGTTCTGTCCGCAGCATTGCTCAGCGGTCGACCCAGGTCTCCCTCCCCCGATCGCTCTTCGTCGTCCTTAGCCACCTCCTCGCTGGCATCTTCCACTCCGCGGATCTCCTTTCTGACAGAGCCACTCAACAATGGATCGTCAACAGGTAGAGGCGGAGTTCTGTCCGCAGCATTGCTCAGCGGTCGCCCCAGGTCTCCCTCCCCCGATCGCTCTTCGTCATCCTTGGCCACCTCCTCGCTGGCATCTTCCACTCCACGGATCTCATTTCTGACGGAGCCACTCAACAATGGATCGTCAACAGATAGAGGCGGTGTTCTGTCTGCAGCATTGCTCAGCGGTTGACCCAGGTCTCCCTCCCCCGATCGCTCTTCGTCATCCTTAGCCACCTCCTCGCTGGCATCTTCCACTCCGCGGATCTCCTTTCTGACGGAGCCACTCAACAATGCGTCGTCAACAGGTAGAGGCGGAGTTCTGTCCGCAGCATTGCTCAGCGGACGGCCCAGGTCTCCCTCCCCCGATCGCTCTTCCTCTTTGCTGGCCGCCTCGTCGTTCGTACCACCGAGCCCGCGGACATCCTCCTCCTCCGTCTCATCACGCGCCTCGTCACCCGCTGTCACTCCGGGCGTCACCGCTCCGCTGCCGCCGCCGGATCCGCCGAGGCTTTCCCCGCCCACGGAGACGCGGCCGCCCGCGGCCGACCCCCGTCCACTCGAGCCCAAGGCCTCGCTGGCCGCCGTCGTGGCTCCTCGGCCGCCCTCTTTGGCCTCCGGCCGGGTGGGAGAAGCGCCGCTCCCCACCTCCCGCTCCTCGAGGTCGCTCTCGGCCGCGTCTGGCGCTCCGCCGCCCGTTCCGCCGGCGTCGTCAGCCGGGCGGCTGCGCCCCTCAGCCTGGACATCAGCGTCGAGGCTGTGCCTGCTCCTGGTGCTGTGCCTGCTCCTGGTGCTGTTCCTGCTCGTGGTGCTGCTGCTGCTTCTGTGGCTCGCTTCCCCCGACCGGCGTCCACTTGGCGTGGCCCTCCCAACGGTCCCCTCCACCCCGCCGTCTCGCGGGACGCTGCCGCCGCCGCCGCCGCCGTCGTCGTCGTCGCCCTCGCCGGGGCCTCCGTCGTCCGGGAGGTTTGACGCCGGCCGTTCGATCGTCGTCTTCCCCACGCTGCCGCCGGTCCCATCGGCACCGCTCGAACGACCCGACGCTTCGGCCGGGTCGTCCGCCTGGACGATGCCGCCGCCGCCGCCGCCGCCGCCGCTGCCGCTTCTGCGACTCGCCGTTGGGGTATCGCCAAACGCCGCGCCGCTCCTCGTCATCTGCCCTTCCGGCTCGAGCTCCGCCGCGTCCAACTCCCCGCTGGCGCGGCCCTCGGTCCCTTCGGCCTCGAGGGCCGCGCGCGAGCCGCTTCGGACGACGCTCCGGGCGCTCCGGGCGCTCCGGGCGCTCCTGCGGCCGTCGCTCGCACGGCTCGTGGCCCCCGACCGGGGTCCGCTCGGCACGGCGCCGACGCCGGCCGTCCCGACGGTCCTCTCGAAGGCGCCGCCGGCAGCAGCCGAGCTCTCGCTGCGGCTGCTGCCCTTCCCGTCGCCTTCACCATCATCGCCGTCGCCGCGGCCGTCGTCACCACCGGCGCGGCCCGCGCGGTGAGAAGCCGCGTCCGTGGCCGCAGCTGTCGCCGCCTCCTCTACCGGTTCCCCTGGGAGAGAGAACAACGGCGAGTCTCGGACGCTTGCGGCGGACAAGCGGAGCGGAGCAGCGGCTCGCCCCCCTGCCACCCCCCCCCCCGTCTACCCCTGCCCCCCTCCCCCGCCACCCCGCCCCCTCGCCACAGCCACGCATCAGAATTGAACCCAGGTTGGAAGGAGCAATGCCCTGGTGCGCTCGCCACTGCGCCGCCACTCCATACTGACGTGGCGACGCTACCACCAGTGACGGTTAAGCGAACCGGTCCCGGGCCTCCCCTAGGTCGACTCAGCCTCAAATAAGTACCTGGTGTGGTGTGTAAACGTCGTCACTGCGGGAGACAAGGGCGGCCGGGCACTGTCCACCCACGCCCTCGTGCGCCGTGCCGGCCTTCATAGGTGCTGCTCGCTAACAGCACTTTGCCCTAACAGTCTGTTAAGGCTATACGGGGGGATCTTTGTCTTTGTGGTGGCAGTTCGCACCTCGCAACATAAAAGAGGCCTGGGTTCGATTCCCTTACTCTGGCGCCTCTCGATGGCGAGTTTGTGTGTTCTCCCCCTGCTTTACAGAGTGAGTGTGAGCGTGTGTGAGTGCGACCCTTCATAGGTGCCACTTGCCCCGGCAGCCTGTCGAAGGCTATCCACGGCGGGGAGGAGGGGAGCTTTGTCTTTTAGCACGACGCAACCGAGGAGATAAACTTTGAAGGCCTCGGCAACCGTCGTCCGCTCACTCACCTGTCAGAGACCCGGATCGCAGAAGCCTCCGGTAGGCCCGCAGGAGACTGTCGCTCTCCCAGTCGCTGTCTCTCCCGGCCCCGCCACCCGAACTCGCTCCGCCGCTCCGACGACTGTGAAGTGCGCCATCTTCTTCCTCTTTCTTCCCCTCCACGTCCCCCGCTTCCTCCTCCTCCTCCTCCTTCTCACCACCGTCGCGCCCTGGCAGGCGGGCCCCTCCGTCCGCCACGTCTCCACCACCGACGCTCTTCCGCGCCGCCCCTTCCTCCTCGTCGCCGCGCGGCCCCGACCCCCGCGGTTGCGGTGTCACGGCGACGACGGCGTTGGCGGCGACCGCGGCGGCGGCGGCGGTGCCCGGCGAGTGACCGGAGAGGAGCGCCGCGACACCGCGGCTCCCGGCGTCGCTCTCCGAGCCCGAATCGTCGCCCGGCACCGCGAGCGACGATGACAGCGACGGCGACACGAAGGGCCGGCCGAGCCCCGGCGAGCTTCCCGCAGCCTCCGAGCCCGAGAGCGACGAGTCGTCGCTCACGTCCGTCGGGTCGGAGGTCGACCGCTCCTCGTCCTGGGCGCCGTCTCCTGCTGCTGGCGCTCCCGACGGAGCGGCGTCCGCCTCCTCCTGGCGCCTCGCCTCCGTCACCGCCGCCGCCGCCGCCTCGTCCGCCTCCCCGTCGCGCCCGGGAGACGCAATCCCGGCGGGCGACCTCGCACTCACTGCGCGGCTGCCGCCGCTGCTGCCGCCGCCGCCGCTGCTGCCGCCGCTGCTGCTGCTGCTGCGGCGACGGCGGCGGCGGCGGTCCAGAGCCGGGGAGCATCGCGAGAGCGGCCCGGATGGCCGGCAGGCAAGTTCCCCTGTGGGCGACGCGACGGCCGCAGGCGACACCGCCCTGGAGCGAGCGGCGGAGGCCACGGGGGGGTCGCCCGTGGCGGCGACCCAGCGGGGCGAATCTGGTCGCGCAGCAACGGAAGAAAAAAAAAAGGAGTCGTTATTAATCGCCGCACGGCCGATGTCGACACGGGGCAACGGGCTACGAGGTCGCATTCCGGTGGTCAAGCCAGACGAGCGAGTCGGGAGCTGCGCGTCGCTGCGATGCCTCCGAAGTATTTGTGCCATCGCGTCGTCACGCATCGCACTCTCTGTTCCGGACGGCCACAATCGCACACTGGGGCCTTCAAATCAATCTGTCACCTCGGGTATCCGCATCTGCTGCTGCCGTGGTTCGTGCAGGCAGGTGCTGCTTACGGGGTGGGACCACAAGCGGCTTCATGGAAGATCACCTGCGGACGCCACCATCAGGGAACGACACGGGGGGGGGCGATCTGCGTGTGACCCGCCTACCCTCGCCATCGGCGCCCATTACCGGGGGGTGCGGGCGGGCGCAGGATGGGGGCGGCGGTGGCGGCAGGGGTAGAGGAGTCGCTGCCGGACGAGGTGCTCGCCTCGGGGGAGGAGTGTCGGCGTGGCCGTGACGACGCTTGCGCGATGATCGCCCTCAGCTCGCGCACTCGCTCTGCCAGGGGAGGGGGGGGGGAGAAGCGAAGGGAGAGGGGGTGGGGGGCAGTGGGAGAGGCGGCGGGGGGGGGGGAGAGATGGGGGGGGGAGAGGCGGTGAGGCAAGAGGGTGGGGGCAATGGAACTTGTTGGAGCTCGTGGAGAGTCGCGCCGGGCCGCCGTGCGGTGAGCGCTGGCGGCCCAGCTTCACGTCGCGCCGATGCCGCCGCGATGGGACTTACCAGGAGTGCCGCCCCGGTTTGCACGTTCTGCCACCACCTCCTCCTCCTCCTCCGCTGCCTCCACCTCCTTCTCCACCTCCTTCCTCTCCGCTGCTTCCTTCGCCGCCTCGTCCTTGACCTCCGCCCCCTTCCCGGCCGCTCCCTTCTTCCCTTTCTCCTCTGCCGTCTCCGTCACCTCCTCCTCCGCCACCCCCTTCGTGGCCGCCCCTCGTCCCATCCCGCGTCGTCTCCGCCGGCCGGCTGAGCGCAGATTAGTCCGGTCGTCCCCACGGCTCGATGGGCTCCTCCAATCCCTCCCCTTCCCAGAATCCCCTGCGTCACTGCCGCCCCCTTTCGTCACGGCGGCGCTGCCGCTGCTGCTGCCGCCGCCACTGCTGCTGCTGCTGCCACTTTTGCCGTTGCGCGTTCGAGCGCGGCTACCCCTCCGCTCGGCGACGCCTGTCGTTTCGGAAGTGGGCCCTTTCCGAGGCGTGAGCTCCCGGCTCCCCGCGCTCCCGGGGACTCGCTCGGCTCGGCTCGGCACGCCCGAGCCGACGTCGTCTCTCTCCGGCTGGATGTCGCGGGGTCCCCGCGGCCTCTCTGGATCGGAATCAGACCGCCGCCAGAGAAGAAGGAATGGGTGAGGCGTGCACCCGCCTTTGGGGGTCTGCAGGTCGCCGGCTCGATTCCCATCTTCCGGCGCGGTGGTCGAACCAGAGGCGCTGGTTTTGATAAATCCGACGCCGGACCACACCACCGCTGCCTCTCCCCGTCCATTGGCATACATGGATCTCGGAAGCTCCACGTTACTTTGGCGGGGGCGAGTCTGTCCCATAAGACAAACACCGTTGATTTGCCCCCCCCCCCCCCCCCACACAACATTGTACTTAATTTTGTCGACCACGAAGGGAGGGACGCTGGGGCTGAGTTCACCACACGGCCGGGCTTTAAACTCTCGACCTTCCAATCGGCAGGTCGCGTGCGGTGTAGCAAAGCATGGGGGAACTGCACGACTCTTCTTCGGAGACGTCCGGCTCAGCATGGATGAGGAGGCCAAATACCACCCGAGCGGGCCTCTCTGGAACTGCCTTCTATTGGAGGCTCTTGTGCAGACAGAGGCGCGAGCCAGAAATAGCAGGGCTGCGCCTCTATCTCTTTAGCAATTACGATGGCCAGGTGTCTGTATGGGGGGGCTGTATCCAGCAGTGCATAGACAATGGTTCACGATGTTTGTGGGAACATTGATGGTGGTGGTCACGATGATAATGTTGCTGTTGGTAATAATGCGAATGTTGACAGTGGTGATGATGATGATGTTGACGACGATGACGACGACGAAGATGATGATGATAATGTTGGTAATCATGAGAATGTTGACAGTGGTGATGATCACGATGATGATGATGATGACGACGATGATGACGACGATGATGATGACAATCTTGTGACGAGGGGACAGCAGCTGCCCGGTCGCATCACCACAGCCTGTGTTTCCAAAGCCATGAAATGTTTATAAAAAGTTAAACTCGTTGACGTGATAACATTTTTATCCTGTCGGCGGTAGAGGGTGGGTGACGGGGGGGGGGGGGTGAGGGGGGGAGATAGCGGCGTCAAAACTACAGCCCTCCCCCCCATCCGCCGCTGTGCGAAATAAAAAAATCTCCACCTAGAATTCCTGAACCCCGCAGCGTTAACGAGAACAACAACGATGACAACAACGCCATTACCTGGCCCCTGGATACACGAGCGGGCAGGCGGGTGGACGGGTGAGCTGACGTGTGAGCGGGCGGGTGAGAGGTCGGGTGAGAGGTCGGGTGAGCGGGTGGGTGAGCGGACGGGTGAGTGGATGGGTGAGCGTGCGGGCGAGCAGATGGGTGAGCGGGCGGGCGAGCGGGCAAGCGGGTGGCCCCCGGCTGCGTCGCCCCTGACTCTTTATTTAATCTGACCTTACTCGTTATTGGTTCTCTCTCCTACGAACGTGACGTGCATGCGTGCGTTTATTGGAGAGAGGTGAGTTGCAACGCGTAGCGCTACGCTGCACTACGAACCCCGGCGACCAGTCAACGATGATCTGAATGGGTCCTGGGCCTCCCCTAGGTCGACACAGCCTCAAATGGGTACCTGGTGCGGTGTATAGTAAACTTCGCCACTGCGAGAGCCAACCCCCTCGTGTGCTGGGGGATCTTTGTCTTTGTCTTCGTAGGAGAGCGTCTCAGCCTGTGCCGCACGCCATCTCGTCAACTCGGCACGTTTCTTTCAAGTGGCACGGGGTGACTCAGCATAGGGGCACCCCCAGTGGCAGCTGCCCTTGCCTGTGGTGACTCAGCGTATACGATACGAGCGATGATAATAATAACGTTCACCGAGCTTGTGCAGACGACGATGACGATGATGATGATGATGCAAGCAATTATTCTGATGTCTGCGATGATGTCAACGAAGACAATGAATTTAAGGATAGGTTTTACCCTTTATGGCAATGTAAGATGTTTAAACACCAAACTGAAATCTTTTGCCCAGGAATCATGTCTGCATTAACCACAATACTTGTGGTGAACATGCAAACAAAGTGACGATGACAATGAAGCTGATGGTAGAGAGGATCAAGACGAGGAGGCGTGAAGTCTCCACCTCTTCACCCACCTGAGCTCTCATCATTGCTCAGTGAGCTCTCATCGTCCTTCTTGGCATCGTGGTCTTCCACCTCCTCCAGCTCCTCCACCTCCTCCACCTCCTCCTCCTCTTTCTCCTCCCTCCCCTTGTCCTCCTCCTCCTTCACGGACTCGTCGTCCGATGAGGCGGCTTTCACCTCATCGCGAGGGATGACGATGATATTGTGGCCGGCTGCTGCAAATATAAAACAACAAAAACACACCCCCCCCCCCCCCCGTCACAATCAATGGCGTTCCGCGTTTCATCTTTACTGACATTTCCGGCTCCGAAATTCCGAGCGTCAGTTGGGCCGTCACGTGACGAGCATTTGCTCTCGGATATGGCCGAGTTGCTCCCCTCCTGCTGCGTGGTGCACCAGAGTGTCACTTGCAGAAGGGATCTCAGCGGTGGCTGAGCGCCCCTTGAAGAAGAAGGAAGGGATCTCAGACGTAGGTCTGTCAGATCAACTTCCTCGGGATGGTGTCTGTGTGTGTACCACAGTGTCCCTTGCAGAAGGAAGGGATCTCAGACATAGCTCTGTGATATCAACTTCCTCGGGACGGTCTCTGTGTGTGTACCAGAGTGTCCCTTGAAGAAGAAGGAAGGGATCTCAGTGGCAGCTCTGTGATATCAACTTCCTCGGGACGGTCTCTGTGTGTGTTCCTGAGTGTCCCTTGAAGACGAAGGAAGGGATCTCAGACGTAGCTCTGTGATATCAACTTCCTCGGGACGGTGTCTGTGTGTGTACCAGAGTGTCCCTTGAAGAAGAAGGAAGGGATCTCAGACGTAGCTCTGTCATATCAACTTCCTCGGGACGGTGTCTGTGTGTGTACCAAAGTGTCCCTTGAAGAAGAAGGAAGGGATCTCAGACGTAGCTCTGTGATATCAACTTCCTCGGGACGGTGTCTGTGTGTGTACCAGAGTGTCCCTTGAAGAAGAAGGAAGGGATCTCAGACATAGCTCTGTGATATCAACTTCCTCGGGACTGTGTCTGTGTGTGTACCAGAGTGCCCCTTGCAGAAGGAAGGGATCTCAGACGTAGCTCTGTGACATCAACTTCCTCGGGATGGTGTCTGTGTGTGTACCAGAGTGTCCCGTGAAGAAGAAGGAAGGGATCTCAGTGGTAGCTCTGTGATATCAACTTCCTCGGGACGGTGTCTGTGTGTGTACCAGAGTGTCCCTTCAAGAAGAACGAAGGGATCTCAGTGGTAGCTCTGTGATACCCTCCGCCAAGCAAGTATCGAGCCTGCTCAAGCCCTGGACATCTCGAACAAGATTCGGCGGGGGGGGGGGGGGGGGGGGCTGGGGCACATTCGCTTTGAGCAATCAGATGCCCCCTCTTTATCCTGTGATGGCTCAACACTGGTGGGGGGTGGGGGGGGGGGCGAGGAAGGGGGGAGGGGGGTTAGAGGGTGGTTGGGGGGAGGGAAATTCGGGCTACCCTGATGCTCAGCTTTGATATTGGATAATAATAATAATTGCGTTGCAAGCCTGCAGTTTAGTTTTATTTTTCTTTCGAAATGGCCCCAACGCCCTAACCAACCACCACCCCCTGCCCGTTACGCTTGGGGTAACGTGAACAAAATAAAAAAAATATATTAACAGGGCGTCCCATAAGCATTAGCAGAGCGGCGTGGCTTAAAAGGCGCCCTCATTAACAAGTTGTCGGTTCTGAAGGATTTCACCAAAAAGAAGGGAAAGTCTTCATTAGTGTTGGCATAATAATAAGAATAGTAGTAGTAGTAGTAATATATAATAATAGCGACGATCGAATTGAAATGCAGGAGCTGCGTCTTTCGGAGGCCCGGAGAGGCAGCCACATAGAGACCCATAGACTCACATAGAGACCCATAGACTCACATAGAGATCCATAGACTCACATAGAGACCCATAGACTCACATAGAAACCTATAGACTCACATAGAGACCGATAGACTCACATAGTGACCCATTGACTCACATAGAGACCCATAGACTCACATAGAGACCCATAGACTCACACAGAGACCCATAGACTCACATAGAGACCCATAGACTCACATAGAGGCCCATAGTCTCACATAGAGACCCATAGACTCAAATAGAGACCGATAGACTCACATAGAGTCCCATAGACTCACATAGAGTCCCATTGACTCACATAGAGGCCCATAGACTCACATAGAGTCCCATAGACTCACATAGAGTCCCCATAGACTCACATAGAGTACCATTGACTCACATAGAGACCCATAGACTCACATAGAGGCCCATAGTCTCACATAAAGACCCATAGACTCAAATAGAGACCGATAGACTCACATAGAGTCCCATAGACTCACATAGAGTCCCATAGACTCACATAGAGTCCCATAGACTCACATAGAGACCCATAGACTCGCATAGAGACCCATTGACTCACATAGAGACCCAAAGACTCACATAGAGACCCATTGACTCAAATAGAGACCCATAGACTCACATAGAGACCCATAGACTCACATAGAGTCCCATTGACTCACATAGAGACCCATAGACTCACATAGAGACACATAGACTCACATAGAGACCGAAAGCTTCACATAGAGTCCCATAGACTCACATAGAGACCCATAGACTCGCATAGAGACCCATTGACTCACATAGAGACCCATAGACTCGCATAGAGACCCATAGACTCACATAGAGACCGATAGACTCACATAGAGACCCATAGACTCACATAGAAACCCATAGGCTCACATAGAGTCCCATAGACTCGCATAGAGACCCATAGACTCACATAGAGACCCCATAGACTCACATAGAGTCCCATTGACTCACATAGAGACCCATAGACTCACATAGAGACACATAGACTCACATCGAGACCCATAGACTCACATAGAGTCCCATAGACTCACATAGAGACCAATAGACTCACATAGAGTCCCATAGACTCACATAGAGTCCCATAGACTCACATAGAGACCCATAGACTCACATAGAGTCCCATAGACTCACATAGAGTCCCATAGACTCACATAGAGTACCATTGACTCACATAGAGACCCATAGACTCACATAGAGGCCCATAGTCTCACATAGAGACCCATAGACTCACATAGAGACCGATAGACTCACATAGAGTCCCATAGACTCACATACAGTCCCATTGACTCACATAGAGGCCCATAGACTCACATAGAGTCCCATAGACTCACATAGAGACCCATAGTCTCACATAGAGTCCCATAGACTCACATAGAGACCCATAGACTCACATAGAGTCCCATAGACTCACATAGAGACCCATAGACTCGCATAGAGACCCATTGACTCACAAAGAGACCCATAGACTCACATAGAGGCCCATAGCCTCACATAGAGACCGATAGACTCACATAGAGTCCCATAGACTCACATACAGTCCCATTGACTCACATAGAGGACCATAGACTCACATAGAGTCCCATAGACTAACATAGAGACAAATAGTCTCACATAGAGTCCCATAGACTCACATAGAGACCCATAGACTCACATAGAGTCCCATAGACTCACATACAGACCCATAGACTCGCATAGAGACCCATTGACTCACATAGAGAGCTATAGACTCACATAGTGACCCATTGACTCACAAAGAGACCCATAGACTCACATAGAGACCCATAGACTCACATAGAGTCCCATTGACTCACATAGAGACCCATAGGCTCACATAGAGACCCATAGACTCACATAGAGTCCCATTGACTCACATAGAGACCCATAGACTCACATAGAGACCCATAGACTCGCATAGAGACCCATAGACTCTTATAGAGTCCCATAGACTCACAGAGAGTCCCATAGACTCACATAGAGACCCATACACTCACATAGAGTTCCATAGACTCACAAAGAGACCCATACTCACATAGAGACCCATAGACTCACATAGAGACCCATAGACTCACATAGAGACCCATAGACTCACAGAGAGACCCATAGACTCACAGAGAGACCCATATACTCATATAGAGTACCATAGACTCACATAGAGACACATAGACTCACATAAAGACACGTAGACTCACATAGAGACACATAGACTCACATAGAGACCCATAGACTTCCATAGAGTTCCATAGACTCACATATAGACCCATAGACTCACATAGAGTCCCATAGACTCACATCGAGACCCATAGACTCATATAGAGACACATAGACTCACATAGAGACCCATAGACTCACATAGTGTCCCATAGACTCGCATAGAGTCCCATAGACTCACATAGAGACCCATAGACTCACATAGAGACCCATAGACTCACATAGAGACCCATAGACTCACATAGAGTCCCATAGACTCACATCGAGAACCATAGACTCACATAGAGACCCATAGACTCACATAGAGTCCGATAGCCTCACATAGAGACCCATAAACTCACATAGAGTCCCATAGACTCATATAGAGACCCATAGACTCACATAGAGTCCCATAGACTCACATCGAGACCCATAGACTCACATAGAGACCCATAGACTCGCATAGAGACCCATAGACTCACATAGAGTTCCATAGACTCACATAGAGTCCCATTGACTCGCATAGAGACCCATAGACTCGCATAGAGACCCATAGACTCACATAGAGACCCATAGACTCACATCGTGACCCATAGACTCACATTGAGATGAGAGCGTGGGTTCCATGCCAGGTTCCAGCCACACATAGAGTCCAATAGACTCACATAGAGTCCCGTAGACTCACATAGAGACCCATAGACTTACATAGAGACCCACAGACTCACATAAAGACCCATTGACTCACATGGAGAATCCATTAACTTACACAGAGAATCCTAGACTCACATAGAGATCCATTGACTCACATACTCATAGACTCACATAGAGTTCCACAAACTCACATAGAGCTCCATAGACTCATACAGAGATTCACGGACTCACATACGGCCCCATAGACTCACATGGAGACCCATAGACTCACATAGAAATCCATAGACTCACATAGAGTCCCATAGCCTCACATAGAGTTCATAGATTCACATAGAGACCCACCGACTAACGTAAAGACCCATAGACTCACATGGAGACCCATAGACTCACATAGAGATCCATAGACTCACATACTCATAGACTTATTTAGAGTCACACAGACTTCAATAGAGGTGCTGGGTTGTTTATTGCATCGTGGTGGTGGTGGTGGCGTTGGTGGCAGCGGTTGTGGGGATTATTTGACCAAACTTCACCACGCGGGTTCCAGTGTGATTTGGGGAAGGCCAGGTTGGTGTCCTTGGCAGCGATGTTTACACATCACACCAGGTGCTCATTTGAGGCCGAGTTGGTCTAGTGGAGGCCACGGACCGCTGCAGACAATCGTCGCTGGTGTTGGCCATAAGCGGGAATCAACCTGGGATCACCACTCCACCACACAGACAAAGGTCCCCCGTGTAGCCTTCAACAGACTGTTGGGGCAAGTGCTGTTAGAGAGGACACTCACACACGCTCACACTCACACACGCTCACATTCACACAAGCTCACACTCACTCACACTCCCACATGCTCACACTCACACACACTCATACTCCCACACGCTCACACTCACACACACTCACACTACCACACGCTCACACTCACTCACACTCCCACACGCTCACATGCACACACACTCACACTCCCACACGCTCACACTCACACACACTCACACTCCCACACGCTCACACTCACTCACACTCCCACGTGCTCACACTCCCACACGTTCACACTCTCACTCTCTCACACTCACACACGCTCACATTCACACAAGCTCACACTCACACACACTCACACTCCCACACGCTCACACTCACACAGGCTCACACTCACACACACTCCCACACGCTCACACTCACACAAGCTCACACTCACACAAGCTCACACTCACTTACACTCCCACACGCTCACACTCACACACACTCATGCTCACACTCACACACACTCACTCTCCCACACGCTCACACTCACACACACTCGCACTCCCACACGCTCACACTCACACAGGCTCACACTCACACACACTCGCACTCCCACACGCTCACACTCCCACACGCTCACACTTACACACACTCCCACTCACACACACTCACACAAGCTCACACTCACACAAGCTCACACTCAGAGAGGTGCCGGAGTGAGGGAATCAGGTCCCTTCTATGATGCGAGGCGTGACCATCACCGCTGCACCACCGCCACCACCACAAAGACAAAGATCCCCCGTGTAGCCTTAACAGACTGTTGGGGCAAAGTTCCGTTAGCCAGCACTTGTGAAGGCCGGCACGGCACACGAGGGGAGCGGGAGGCCAGACACCACGCCCGGCCACCTTTGTCTCCCCAGCGAGACGAAGACCGCCACCGCCATGCCGCCCGATTACTCGAACTTTACCCGCCCGCCATTCTCACCGCGCACGGAGGAGGTGCGGCGTGGTGATGACGACGACGACGAGGAGGAGGAGGAGGAGGACGAGGAGGAGGAGGAGGCAGGGCGAGAGGAGCGATGTCTGTCGATGCTGGATCGACCGCCGCGTGTCGATCCATCGCCTCCGCCGTCACCTCCGCTGGAGTCCGATCCGTCGCCTTCGTGAGATTCAAAATCCTCGGCGTAGTCACCTGGGGGGGGGGGGCGGGGGGGGCGGGGGGGGGGGGGCGGGGGGGCCGGGGGGGCGGGGCGTGGGTCACATTCAAGAGGAACGACGAGGGCGGGCAATCGCGCGAAGAAGACGTTCGTTGAAATTAGAAATAAATATATTATAAGTAAAAAGATAATTAGCCAGACACCAACTTCGAGCGATGGTAATTATGTTGTGCG